AACGGCAATCGAACCGTGACAGTGCACAATGTGAGCTTGACATGTTAATCACTCGGCCACATTACCACGAGTGCCCTTGGATCACTGGGCAGATGTCAATTTCAAGGAAGGCCAGGCCCTTTCCCATATCACATTGTTTGGTGCAGTCCACCCTTCCTTGAAGGTGACATCTGCCCATTGACCCAAGGGCACTCGTGGCAATGTGGCCGAGTGATTAACGTGTCAAGCTCACATTGTGCACTGTCACGGTTCGATTCCCGTTGGAAGTGTCAATAAAACTTATGCGAAGTTGAAACTGCAGTTTACTGGTGACCGGATGAGAACAACTTTTGGCAAAGCTAGGCTCTGTGAAATTAAATGAAAATGTCAGCTCTGCTCATACCATTGTGGGAAAATTCTACTACCAGTCTTTCATCACCTTAAACGAAATTGAGGGAATACATCTGGTATTATTTTATCATTGAAAAATCTATCACTGTTCCCTAAAGCACCACCCACCAGATCTGGTACCTCAGGCTTAGATCAAGGCTTAAACTGCCGAAGCCAATTCTGGAGTGTAATTGTTTAAGCCTAAAATGTTTATTCAAGTATTCATACTTTTATGGCCAATTTAATATGAAATTCGTCATAATAACAAGTCATACTTGCAAATGAACTGCAATTTTTAACCAGAAAGTAATTTTAAAATGGCTCAAAATAATGAATATCTTACTTACATCCCTAATATTCCGGCAAAAATAAAAGGCTACTGATAAATATAATGACATTAGCAACTGCAAAACACAAATACAAATTTTTTTCAGATTCACAAATTATGCAAGCTGATCATTCTAAAAATGTTGTGTACAGAACATGAAATTTATATAAAGAAAACAACCAATAAAATCATCTATGAATCTGAATAATTAATCCGAAAATCTTATAATTAATAGATTAACTTAAAAGATAGGACATTAAGAATCTCTACATATGTTGTTCTTATCGCCATATTATCAGCTTAAATGATTAAAATTCTCTCTCTTCGTGATAGTTGACTTCTTTGGTAACTTAATTTGCTTGTCAGATGAAGATTAAATATCTTGCAAAGAATAAGTATTAAAACACTGAGCCAAGATGCTATTTATTTATAAGTTTAGAAGCAGTCTTTCAGAAATACTCAAATATTGTTTCTTTATTCTGACGAGCTTGTCTCTCTGTCCATCTCACAACAATATTGCATTCCCAAGAAGCTTTTTCGCCATTTTTTTCAATTTAGAGCAATTAACAGATGGCTTATGCATATTTTTATGTAGGAACTATAATCTTCTGGAGCCTATAATTGAGGTCCCTTAATGGAAACCACTTTCTTTATCTATCCACATTTTATTATTCCTTAGGCAACAGTCACAATGAAGGTCCCTATTCATGTTTTAATAATTTTATCATTTGTATTTAGTGAAAATTGCAAGTATCAACCCTTTCTGATCCCCCCATTAAATCTTATTGTAGTTTGGGCAATTGTAAAATAAAATATCCTGAACCAAGCTTGTTTAGGCCATACTGGTATTCCATAGTCTATAAATCACCGCGCACCCCCTTCTTCCCGGTCGCTGGAACAACGGAAGTAAGGGGATTAGTCCAACCTTTCCCTAATCGCCTGCGAATGCCACTCAGCCATTTGTAGGCCAGACTGACGCAGCACTTTGATGGGAACGAACACAGTTTCTGGCATGTAAGCGCCAATTGGCGCCGTCATACCAGCCAGCATTAATTGAGAGGTTGAAAATTTGACGCAGGCTTTCCATCCCAGACTGGGTTACTAATGTTTCTTGCTTTTTGCCTTCGCAAACAATACGACTTGTTGGAAAGCGGAGTTCAGAAGGGCCGTCGAATCTCGTTCGGTCCAGAGTTAGGTCCTTTGAATGCAGAAATGCGCAGCATTTTGCCCGCAAACTCTCGTGCTGAGCGGGAATTCTCAAACGTCTAAAAAACACTTGGGACTATTCTCTATTCTCAAGCAAGCCAAGATTGACAACCACTTTTTCTGATTGTGCCAGGCGAAAAGTCCAATAATTGCCGGCATTTTTGGGTGAATGATAGACCCATTGTTGAATTATGGCAATTTTATTTCCGCCTCCAAAACCACTCTGGCACCTGCAAATTAGCGGAAGGCAATTATATCAGAATAGGCTCTGGTACAACTTATCCTTCCATTTTACTGCAAGCAGTTTCAAGCCAGACATTTGAGGTTCCCTTGAGGCTTTGGCTGCAGGCTTCCGCCAGCCACGCTTTTTTCGGCCCCTCTCCTCTACTCGTTCTCCTGCCTAGGCCATGCCCACACACCGAGAAATATGTGTATATTTGTGGGGAAATTAAAATTTATCTATAAATAAAGACGGTTATTAGGGCATCTATTGCAAATACGTCCCTAAATGCCTCTGCAAGTGTGTCTCCGAGACTGCGCCCCTCTGGTCTACTGCCATGGTAGAAGAGATTCGTCTTACCCCACCCCCACCCCCCAACATGGAGAAGGTCAGGCCTCGAACGGCTTCAGTCAGATAAGATTTCCCATTCCATTCTTCCGATGTCCGCCTGGGTGCATCGCCCCTGCAAACTCTGCAACTTCAGCTTGAAGTGTTCCAGGAAGGAAAGACCCGATTTTCTATAACCACTTCTCTCTTAACGAAGTTCCTTTTTTCCACAATCGATGAATCTTGGATGTCAGCCTCCTAGTCGTGTTAGGGTGTGCCTGAAGTCATTGTCAACATTGCTGTTCAGAGAGTAAACAGTTTCGTTACCGAGCATTGATGGATGCAGATTCCGGCGTTAATAGGAATATCGTCAATTGAGGAGAGATGATGGCGGCGTCGATGACATGTTTTGGGTACAAGCGTTGGCCAGAAGAATTCGACTCCCGGGGGGGCTCTGATGAGTCCTGGCGAAGTTCATAATTGCATATATTAAGAACAAGATGTCGCAGTCTCCTTTCGATTTATACAAGTGGGTTGACCTCTTTGACGCAACTTGGTCTTGTTGTCAGGGCGACTACGTAGAACGCACCTAGTCCGAAGTCGTCTGCCATAGTAGT